ATAATAAAATTACACATATGAGAGAGAAAGGATTAATTGCATAAGGGTAAATGAGAATGAAAACCAAGTCATTTTGAACAACCACATAAATCTGGTGTGAGATTCTTGTATAACCTTTTTCTGTAAAAATTTCTGGTAAGAAGAAACAAGTTACTTTCAAATTATGAAAATAAAATGCAAGTATGCAAAACACTGAAGTTAATTGGTCTGTGCAGCATTTCCCCAACATCCTGTCCAGATTCTGAACTTCCTGCTCCATGATCCCAAAGTTCTTATTCTCTGAGGTTCCTGGGAATGGAAACAATTAGACAATTCCAAAGGTGTTTATTAAGGTTTTTTTTTCAGACCTCCCCTTTTCTGAACTTTTGAAAACTGCCTGCCACATCTGGCTGTTGGCAAAGTCATAGCTTGTCTTCCTTTAGATTTTTCCAGCCTAATGCACACCCTATGAGCTGGACTACTGTTTGAAGCATTCTAGGCCTTCATGGCTATAGATGGTGAAGACCAACTTATCAACAGAACACTGAGTTGAAAAATATCTGTTATGTGTTCCTCAATACTTGGAGCACAGTAAAGGAAGAATTGCTAACTTTTTTTTTTTTTTTTTTACTTCAGACCCCCTTTTTCTTCATGTATAGGTCTGGAATGCTTTTGTCATATTACTGATGATGGTTGAACCCTTTGGAAAAAAAGCATAAATACGCAGTTGACTGCCACTCTTGCAGTTTGCTCATGAATAGGTCTTTGGGGTTTTCCTGCTGAAGGGGGGACATGCAGTGTGACATTCTTCCAGCTGTATGCACTGTCATTGCTCTCCTCCCAGCTCTGCCCTGTCCTGAGCTATCTCACAGTTATTGGATGTTCACTTTCCGTAACCCAACCCAGCCTGATCAGGCTGAGATGAAGTTAACGATGTCTGTCTCTTACTGATTATAAGCTGAAGTATGGACTTTTGTGAAGCTGGTTCTTTATCATGGACCATGTCCTTTTAAACAACAATATTCAAAGTGTACAAGGTGGTCTTTATCTCCAAGAAGCCTGTCTTGGAGACTGGCAGTAGGGTTTTTTTTTTTTTTCTTCCTCTGTTGATTTGCTTTCCCCAAACTATGGCAACCTTTCTTTTGTTTCCCTAGCATAGCCAACTGGGAATGTTAAGAATTATATTCGAAACATAGTTGGAGAGGGACAAGATGACTACAGGTTGAAGATGAATCCAATTTTAAGTTGGTATTACCTCAGTGAAATGGTGTGCTGTGATGTCATTGTAAAACTGAAGGAAAACCTCAGGGCAGTTTGCACAAATCTAATCCTCATTTAAAGGGATTATATTCCATGCAATTTAGAAGAGATCTCTTCCACACTAAATGTTCACACCAATCCTGAATTGACTCTCTCCTTTCATTATTCCATGCTGCCATCTGTTTGCAGCATCAGAGCCAATTTTCTTCAGGGTTAACTGCAGTAAAAACGAATGTGCTTTGAGATTGGTTTTCAACTAGAAATGCTGAAGTTTTGAAAACTTTGGGGATGTGCTAGTCCTGCATTGGAAGGGAGCTCTTCTTCTGGCTCCTGAGCTGCAATTAACCTGATAGATCCTTTAAATGGAATGTTGGCTTGGTAGCTTTGCATCTCCCTTAATCCCTGTAGACCAAATTAATCAATGAGGATAAATTTGTAATAAGTCCTGAGAGAAGAGTAGTGAAATATGTTCAGCTGCTTGGGGTTTTGGTTGTTGTTGTTGTAGTGGTTCTTTGGAGAAGATATGAGAATTGTTATGGTTGTTGCCATGGCATATTGAAGCAGTGTGGTGATATTTGTCCTTGTTCTCAGTGTTTTTGGGCCAGCAAATTTAAGACAGTTGCTGTACATTTTTGAATTGCATTTGACAGACATGAGAGTAGAATAGATAACAGTGTGGAAGTACCGTCATCTAAAGTCAAGAAATTATACTAAACGTTGCAGTTCCTTTGCTAAAGATGAGGCAGTGGAAAACAGCAGGGATTTGGCATTGATGATCATAGTGGTTAACCATACCAGTTCAGCAGGATGTGATATGAGCAATCTAGAATAACATGCTTGCCACACTCGTCTCTTTCTCCTTATATATAGATTGCCTTAGTTTTCTTAAGGCAAAAATAGCACCATGTCACTGTAAAGACTGAGCATTCTTAATGCACCTTGGAAAGTGGAATCTGGTTTTTGAGTTATGAAGGTCTTTGTGGGTTTGAACTTTACCTGCTGGCAGCTGCAAGAAATAGAGAGGCTAATTGTGAGAAAGAATAGCTAATTGTTTCCTCTAAACTGGAATTAAACCCAATATTTGTAAAGGAAAAGGAAAAAGGAAGCTTGGGTTAGAGAAGTATTTCAAGGCAGGATAGCTGTTTCTAGAGAAAAATAATCAGAAGAGTAACCATCTTGAGTACCCACAGGGCAGGCTGAACAACCTAAAATCTCAAAAGATTGATAAAGGCCAAGTTAAAACAAAATAATTGATCCAAAGTTACCCAGTCAGCTTCCTTGACTAAGGATGGACTAGAATCAAGGTCTTCCCACACCTGGTCTGGCATGTAACCACTACATCACTGGTCTCTTAAGTATTGATATCCAACAGATCTAGACAAGGGGCTGGCCTTAATTAATTTTGCATAGTTCCCATGCTCAACAAAAGCAACTGACTTCCCCTATCAATAACACCCTGTCAGCAAACTTAGCAGATCTGATATAAAAGGGTTTCAGTGGCGAAGTAAACTGTAAGGCCAGCAATAGACAAAGGGCAGCTTTTGTTTGAGCACAATTCATGGGACCCGGAAAAAGGATTAAGCGGTCTGGATCCATTGTGCACTTGCATATATAAACAGTACATGGGGAAAGGCAGCAGGTTCACATAGTGATGATCACTGATAAAATCGTCTCCAATAAAAATACAGCTCTGTTCCAGCAGGGATATAGCATTGTTTTAACCTGACTTTGGCTATTGCTCTGTCATTGCTCTGAGGGCCTGTTAGCCTTCACACAGGCACTGCAATAAATCTCTCTCCCTCCAGAAACTCAGCTGCTCATTCAGAAACTAGCTAACAGCAGGAGCTCCCAGTGTAACCAGATAAGATGCTTTGTTGCAGAAAATAAAAAGTCATCCTTATGTAGAATATCTCCTTGCTGCAGCACATAGAAATCAAGTACATGCTAACCACAGTTTTTTTTTAAGACTGGACTTTGGGCTATTTCTCCCAGCCTTGACATTTGCTTAATGTTTATACAATGATTTTGCCAGTTTCACCCTTTACAGGTCCTTTCCCCACCACTGCCTTAAAGTACTACGCATACATTCTTGAATCGGCACAAAATATTGCCATCATAACGTTGGCTGTCCGCATTGCCAATCCGTATTTTGATTCTATTACATCTTTGTTTCAAGTCACTAGGTAATAATGTTATCTTGATCTGTGAGGGTGCCAATTATTACAGGAAAAGTAATTGATGTTCTTAGATTTTTTTGCAATATCACCCTGTCCTAACCCAAAGTAAACCACCATTCAGAAAAAAACATTTACTCAACAGGATATTAAAGAAGGAATGGGGACAGGTGATTTTAGAATTCTGGGGTTTTTCCAGACTAGTTTGTCATCCCATACCATTTATGGATGTCTTCCAAATTAATGTGAAAAGAAGAGACACATGGGAAGAATCCAGACTAGAAATAGCTTGAGAGAGGAAGGAAATAGCTCTGACATAACTGTGCAGCTAACCAAGTTCAGTAGCATGAATACATTGAAACCAACTAGCTGCTTGGTAACCAGGTCTCCAACTTCATGATGGTAGGAGAGAGAAGTGATTGAAACTGATAAGTAAAGGGAAATGGGCAAATAAGCAACAAAATCCCAGTTCAGGTAAGGAAAATAGCTGCAATATCTAAAGGTAAAAATATATGTAAGGGTACTGTGGATTATTGCAAAGATTTGCAATCCAATTTTGAAACTGATGGTGACCAGAAGATCATATAAGATAAAGAAGCATCTGAAGATGGCAAACCTAGCTGTAGGCAATGAAGATAGAAGCATCTATGGCAGGGGTCTTCAAACCTGGCCCTTTTATGACTTGTGGACTTCAACTCACAGAATTCTGGGAGTTAAAATCCACAAGTCATAAAAGGGCCAAGTTTGAAGACCCCTGATCTATGGGCTTTCGTCACATAACAGGTGCCTTAGAGAAGCTTCCACATTCAGAAATAGGTGCTTCATTGGATGGGACCAACTCCCTAGGATTTCAGGATGTTTTCTCCAGTTTACATTTTTTTTTTTAAAATAGATAGATGGACTCATTTCCAAACAAATCCCCAGGCTACAGCCACCCACATCTCACTAATTACTTTTCTAGAAAATGTTTAGAATATATGTGTAGAGTCTTATAAATAAAAAAAATGTACGGAAGCTGACATTTTCATTTGTGATATAAATATTATTATGCATTTATTTACATTTAATTAAAATGATCTAAACCACAATGAACATTGTAAGAGGACATGGACACAAGTGAAGATCAAAGATTGTCCAGTCGTGAGATAGGATAGGGATGCACAGATTGTCTGTTTTATCCAAAAACCTGCAATTTTAATTGTGGCCTTTTATTCTTCTTGGATCAGGCAACCCTGTCTGGTTGTGTTTCCGAACTGTGTATTCAAGTGCAAGTCTGTATAAGCCAGACTGTGAAAAATGATAAATCAGATTGCTGCAGTTACCGTTGTTTCTACTAAGACGAATGGCTGAAATTTCAGGCTCTAATCTGCTGTTGTGTTTTACAATAAATAGTTAACTCAGAAGAATTAGCCAAGAAACATCTTTGGATCTGTTGCAGTGAAAGATCAAGAACTATTTTACAGTTGGAAAGAGTGGTAACAATTTGGACAAAACTACATAGATGTAGATATAGTCATAAAGATCTGACTTCAACATATACAACATATGTTTTTCTTTCTATTTGTCTGTCCATATGTCTGTCTACAGGAGTTATAGGGTTCCAGCCATCACAACATCATTTCAGGCCTATGTCAACAGTTTGTTTACACCTGCTTTAAGGACAACCAACTTGTTTTACAGGGATAAATCAAAAGGATTGACCTAAATGGAAAAAAAATGTTATACAAAAGCTTGTTTGGTCAGGTGCTCTGGTCTCACATCAATCAGTAATGTAAGTTAATATTATTTGCATTCTATGTAAACGACTGCAAAGCAGATGTGTGTGACACTTCTATTTTTCTTATTTTTTTAAAAAAATAATAACATACAAGGGTTAGTATATAACAGAAAGAGCAAAGTTCTCAAATGCCAAAACATTCTAAGAAAATAATGAAAAATTCTGCTTTGGGTGCTTCTTAGAATAAAAGATAATTTAGAAAGCAAAATGTGTACTGCTCTTAGTTTGTCAGATGTTACATCTATGGTGGTTGCTATACCATTACTTTAAGTAGAATTGTTTTCTCTCATTCATAGGCATGCAGAATGAAGAGGAACTGTATTTATTTTGCAAACTGGTCAACGTTAGCCAGCATCTGCAGTTCTTCCATAGGTATGAATTATTTGTGTTAGATAAGGTCCTCATGAAACATTTAAGCAAATTTCATTTGTAGGAGGAATTGTTTTCTGGTTTGGATATCTTATTTGTCATTATTTAATGACAGTAAATGAATTGAACTGAACTCACGGGAGCTTTTTACTGAACACACATATTTAAATTGCAGTGTTAGGATATTAAGTTTATTACATTTCCAGATGCCTTTGAGGCTTTGAGTGACAACCATATTATAGCTATCAATATTAGAGGTGCTTTGAATTGGACAAAAGAGACTATTAGAAAACAGTCTTATTGTGATATTATCTGTAAATATATCCCATTAATTTCAGTCCTGAAGAACTCGGCATGTTTAGTTTCCTATTGAGCTCAGTCGCCTTTGATCTGAAGTGTGTAAGAGAGAAGAATTTGTATAGTTCTCATGCTTCGGACCAATGTTTGTTTATATCCTGCCTTTATTATTTTTGCAAATAAATCAAGACAGTGAACATATTCAACATACCTCCTATTTTCCCCACAACAGCAATCCTGTGAGGTAGGTTGAGCTGAAAGAGAATGACTGGCCCAAAGTCACCCATTTAGCTTTCATGACTCACAGTCTCTCGCTTTATATATTGCAAATATTGCATCAATGCCCGCACAAAGAACAATATTCAGATTTCTGTATAATTTTATAGAAGTTGATATCTGATTGGATTAATCTCAACACCTAAAACCAAAACTCAGTAGTATTTCCAGATAGACCCAAAATAAATTATGGCAGTTTAATTTTGTTTAATAGAAGAGAATATACAGTGTGTGGCTCAGAGTTGAATGTGGTGCTCTCTGAGCTGGTTATTTGTTTGCAGAAATTTTATTTCCAACTGCAGGAGGTAACATCATTAGTGAGAGTGAGTGTGGGAAGACTATGTCCCACCTTAACCATCAAAGCCAGCTGGTGACCTTGGGCCAGTGACTCTCTCTCTCTTCAGCCCAACCCACCTCACAGGGTTCTTGTTGTGGGGAAAATAGGAGGAGGAAGTTGTGTTGTATATGATCACCTTGAGTTGTTTGCAAAAATAATAAAGGTAGGAGATAGGTAGGTAGGGAGGTAGGGAGGTAGGGAGGTAGATAAATGATAGATAGATAGATAGATAGATAGATAGATAGATAGATAGATAGATAGATTTGCTCGCTGTTTATATACAGTAGCCTTCCCTTCCAAGTTTGGTGGGGATGTGGTTTTCTCCTTAGTAGTTCCTTGATTAGGGTACAGTTTTCTGCTTGTTTGCCTGGTATCAATCCCTGCTTATCTGAATATATAAATCCCTGCTCATCTGGGTAATTAAAATAAAGCTAAGAAAGAAACAAAAATACTAGAACACATCCTCTGTGGTGGGCAACATCCAGATAAGCAGGTTTTTCTTAAAAAAAAAAAATTAAAACCTAATGATCTTGTACAGCAATGGTGTAGTCAACCCATGGAAGCTGTGGGTTCTCCGTTTCCGGACAGCATCTCTCAAGGATAGTTTAACTGGATTCCTACATGTTGCAGATGTTAGGATGAAATTTTTCTCATGGTCCCTGCCAAGTCCCTAATTCTACTATATAATTGCTCCTAAGGCTAGTAATCAAAAGGCACTTGTAGTTCTTCTGCTTTTATCCTTAATGAAAATGTCAAAAGAAGTGGGAAAGTTGCAAATGATGTTGCCCATTTGATACATGCAGGCCCTATTCTGGGAATTGGGAGTCACACATTACATTAATTTGCAATGTGGATTATTGTTCTTGGTTTAGCCTGTTGTGAGAAGATAGCCATTTAGCTGCATAAACCATGGTTTATAACTGAGCAGGATGTGTGAATGCAGCCTGACTATACCATGAAAATATAACCTTCTTACTTTTAGCACTGAAACGTGGGATAGATGAGCATTACTTTTCCATTTGACAAACATGAAGATGCATTAACAACTGTCAGAATTTCACAGTCCTTGTAAGATGTCAAAGTAGTTTATCTAATTAACTCAGTACTGTAATCCTTGCAGGTATGATTGTACACAGTTTTTCTAATCAGGGCAACCTCCTTGCAGGGTGAGATGTAGAATCAGAAGAGATAGAATGTTCCATGGTAAAATAATTGAAGTGAAACCGATTGGATATCCAGGAGTGGTTACATGAACTTATGTGTTTGTGTGTGTGTAAGAAAGAAACTTTTAAAAATAATGCCTAATCTCACCTTATTTCTTGATTTACAATCAAAAGTTGACAGAATGTTTTCTATGATGCCAAAAGAGCCGCAAGCAGATCACGGTAAATAGGTTATCCACCCTGCCAGAAAAGTATTTCCCCAAAAAAAGGCTTTCTCAATGACTAACGGCTGCATCTTTATTGTATGGATGGCCTTCATCTCTATGCAGCATGGAATTGTTACATCTATATTGATGTATAGATGAATACGTGCTTAGTGCTTCTGTGGTGTGTGGATAAATAATTAAAAGAGATATTGTTGTAATTGTATTTCTATCAACAGATTGGACTTCAACCTTTGACTTGGCTGTTTTTACTGAGTTGGCAGTAAGCTGACCAAATGCATGGTGTCTCTGTATACAGGAAGAGGAGAAACTATGTGCAGAACATTATCTGTGTTTTCATTCTCCCCTCTATTCCTTATCCATTCCTAATAAGCCTGCATAGGCCCCAGATGTTCCTTCTATGGCAGTGTTTCTTAACTTCAGTGATTGGGAATTCTGGGAGTTGAAGCCGCGACATCTTAAAGTCACCAAGGTTCTAATTATTGCAATTATTCTATTGCAAATTATAAATGGCTAACTGCAAATTATAAATGGCTAGCTTTCTTCCAGAGGATGTACCAGTCAGGTTTATGAAGCGCCTCACCACTGCTTACTGAAGTGAAATACAGTTTAATATTTTTCTTATACAAACTGTCATTATTCCCCAAATGCAATTTATATACAGAAGTAAGGATAGCAATGATGGCAGTCATGAAAAATATCTGTCAATCCAAGATATATACATAAATAACCTTTGGACTCTAAAGTGTTTAAGTAAGAATAGGGATGTTCACAGCAGGAGAGCCAAAGTCAATAAAGAAAAGTGGTGGAGCTTCATAGCCATCTGTACTTTTTTCAATCATCTCTATGTAAGAAAGAGAATAATGTTTTTCTTTCCCATGAAAAAATAAAGTGTCTTTACTTGTAGCTGCATGTTGAGTACTGTACTGCAAAAGAGGGGTTTTTTTCTCTTCAATATGACCCTGGCTGATTCCGAAAAGGCTTTGGAAGAATGGTTCTGATATACTAGGGATCAAATAGACAGAATTTTTTTATTTTATTTTATTTTTTATTTGCACTATCTATTAAACCATCAAGTTAAATTTATTTCTCTAAAAGTAGTAAAATTTTGTTACATTATGGTGTAAGCTTTGCCGGTAAATGGTTGCCAATACTACTTGTTAGGAGATAGTTTTGTGTTGTTCATTTTATTGAATGTACTTCTCTTGCTCAATGATTGAAATAAAGTTTCTGTCTGTCTGTATTAGGGATCACCAGGGAATTCTAAGACTGAGCTAGACTGGGAAGTTATAAAAAGACAGATGTTTTAAATCAGTGGTTCTCAACCTTTTTAATGCCGTGACTCCCAACCGGTCGTAAGTCGAGGACTACTCAATTGGTGCAGCACCGTTTGCAGAATGGGACTTTTAACGGGCTCAGCAGGGCAGAGACAGCCAGGACAATTCCTATTGGCTTTTGAAAGCCAATAGAATTAGACTCTATTCAAGAGAGTCTATTCTATTGGCTTTCAAAAGCCAATAGAATAAGAGGGAGTAGCACAGCTAAGGAAAAGGGGGAAAAAAGGCGGACTGCATTGTTTGGCGACCCCCGTGAAATGGTTGTTTGACTCCAAATGGGGTCCCGACCCACAGGTTGAGAACCACTGTTTTAAATGATCTGAAGAGAAACTAGAGCATTGGAAAAGACATATGTTATTGAAGATACTGAAGATACTTAAACTTGGACAATATGCACTAATGGTGAATAACAGCATATACAGGCAGTCCATGGGTTAAGAATATCCAATTTACAGGCAATTCATATTACAAATGGTCTATTACTGAAAATGGCAGACAGCATTCTCTTTCCTTGAACCGATGAACCGACAAAGTCACATGATGTTTTCATGAACTGCTGAAGCGGTTGTGGTTTTAATAAACAGTCTGTTTCCAGTAGTTCATAAAAACATGGCATGGCTTCAGCTGTCTGATATCTCTCATTTTTAGCAATAGGCAGTATGTATGAATCAGACTTACATACAAAGTTTGTAAATACGAATTCTGATTTACATACAAATTTGAGTTACAGACTTTGGAACATTCTTAACCAGGGATTGCCTATATAAACAACAGAAGACTAACCATATTTAAGCAAGAACGGCTTCTATTTCACAGGAAAGCAAATATAAATATTTACAGTACAATTTTTAATAGGAAAAAGAACTGACTAAAGAACTGAATCAAAACACACACAAATTTATATTATAAATACTGTATGTTAGCATACAACAAAAGGAAAGTCAAAAACTAATACTTATCTATAGCATTTTCAGTAGTTTTTATATTGTTAAATAAATATTGGAGAATATGACTCAGAAATTTAAATCCTTATTCACGCTGTTTAAGCAATTTAATGTACTCTGTTTTTTGTGGTTAATTTCTCATCAACAATGTATCGAATCCTAACTGATTTCAGTAATTCTTTGTTCACTTTATTTATTATTAATATTATTTTAGATATTTTGTTTTATTTTTTGTTTTTCTCCTTTTGCTTGCTTTTTCTTTTTCTATTATCTATGAAAAAGGATTAATAAATAAATAAAAGCAGAAAAAAGCAGTGGAAAGTATGGAACTTCTCATTTAATTACCAAAAATCAAGTCATATACAACTTATTGAGATTTAAAAGAGTGGTGATACTGACATGCTAATATTTATACTGGAATTATATTACAGATAGATATTGTTATACACTGACATGTAATATTTTTAGCAGTAGGAAGACTATCTTGATTTCTTCAATAGTGATATAGTTTGATAAGCTTAGACAATTTGTCATCAACTGCATCAAGTAGCAACAGATTGTGATCTGGCAGAAGCTAAATAAATTGATGATCTCCCTGCTCGTTTTTGGTTGGCAGCAAAAACAAGACTTCCATCAAATCTCTGCTATCCTACGATGGGCTTGATATATCCCAAATTTGATACTAAGACTAGTGATGGGTGCTCTGATCCTTTTGAGAGTCAAAGTTCAGTATAATTTACAAACTTACTCAAATGAAAATCCTAAAAGAAAACTCTTCTACATTTTGAATTTAACATTCATATTTAATCTTATAATGTATCTATGATGCAAAGGTACACTTTGGATAGAGGACATACCTAATACAATGCTTCTTTACTGCTCTTCTCTGGAACAATATTAAATGTGATGAGGGACAGCTTCAGATTGCTCACAAAGAGGACTATTTCTCCCCAAAGAGTTACATTTAAAATGGAAGGATTATATTGCATTAACTAAAAATCTGTTTTTGGGGAGGTATATCAAATTTTCTGTCTAATCTGTTTTTTTGTTGACAGTAACCTAAATGCTTTATTGAGGAGACTTGATGTGGAGTAATTTATGACTTGAAGTAGAACCTGAGATGCATAAAAATAGTGGGTGCTGGTTGAGTTGAATAGGTTAATATAAGCTCCACAAACCATGGGAGGGAGGGAGAAGGAGGAGGAGGAGGAGAGGACATAATATTAGCTTTAGTAAAAAAAATACTACTTTTATAGCGGACCAGAGTTAGGGGAGGTACTTCCAGACAATCAAACTTCCAGTCACTGAAGTCATCTGATTTCAGACTGAAAACAAAGCAAGCCCTGAATGGACTGTTCAGTTGATTCATAGTCACCAGAACGGGAATCCTAATTTTTTTTTTTACAAGTCTACATTGCTAATAAAAAACTGAGAACCAATCAGACCTTGCCCTTTGTGGGCAGTCAGCAGAATGGAATGCTTCAATTGTCCTCTAATTTTCACGAGAAAGCACAAATTCCTTCTCAGTGTATGTGTGTGTGACTTTGTGTGTGTGAGTTTGTAGTCAAGCCAGGTATCACTAAGCTGCCAAGATTATCTTGGACAACACAAGCCATGCAATGTCACCACTTCCTCTATTGTCTAAAAGTTCCCCAGTTGCATCAAACCTTGTGAATATGACAGAAAGGACTCAGAACAAAACATCTGGAGTACCTATCTGGAAGAGTCAGACTAGATCTATGATATGGACAGTTGCAAATTTCAGTGCGTCACTTATCCAAATATTCCCCTTTTTCCTGGCAAATCATTTAGGAAAAGTTTGGTTCAAAGATTGTCACGTGACGTACAGAATTTTATGAACCTGCAAAAAATCCTGCTTGATCATACCAAAGGCCTGTCTCATTCAGAATCCCATTTTTCACATGGCTAGCCAGATCTCTGCAAGAACTCTCAGAGCCTGACTTATACACAATAGCAAATTAGCACTATTTTTTTTTCAGCATCTGATGTTAGAGTAACACTAACAGAAGTGATATGTAAAGACTTAAAGACAAGCAATTATTGATAAATCCCCATGAATTTCCCTCTTTCCAGATTCATCCAGTTTATTTATCCAGTTTATGTCTATCAACGTTTACAAATAAGTTTTCATCATCAATTACTCATAAATCAAAAGCAGTCATCAAGGACCAACATGGTAGAAAAAAACTGCATGTAGTATATAACCGCCTCCCACCGTTTTCTATTCATTTTATTTTTATTTATCGAACTTAGGAACTGCCCATCTCCCTCACTGAAAGATAGAATAAGAATATTGTTTTTCTTATGTGGATTGGTGGCATGGAATCAGCCAGGAGAAGGAAAAATGAACATATCGGGTACAGAAGTGGTTAAACAACACCAGTGGGTGTCCTCAGTTAAGGCTGCAGGCTCTCCTGATTGCTTTTTGTTTCAATGAGAAAACACGGAGAAATAATTTATATGTGTAACAAATAGAGGTTAAAGAGTCTATCTACAGCTAGTGGATGATGGGGATGGTAGTCTGTCACACCTGTAAAACATGAAGTTGGGAAAAACTTTTCTATGAAATGGGGGAGTTACAAACGATGACCTTAAAGAACATCCAGTCAATTCTATGCAAGTAGTGCTTATTCACAGCTGAATGTGGCCAAAGACCAATGACAGCTGGCAAAAGCAAACAAACAGGAAGCTTGGCAGTGTATGTGTATGTGTAGAGGAAAGAAATAGTGGCTTCTACTCTGAACTTTTATGAGGACAACAAACAGGGCTTCAGCAATTGTGCTTGGCCTCTCAGAAACCGACAGAGCAACACAACTACAATAATTTGAGTTTGGCATTGAGGAAACCTCTGCACCTTTTGCATTGTCACGGCTCACTACCTGTTACACATAACTGAATGCATCAGTTGGCTTAACTATGAGAGGGGGAAAGTTTAATGCTACATTGGAGCAACATCTTTATTAGGTCAGAGAATGTTTCCAAAGTAACTTCAAGATGTCATGTTTTCCAATAATTCTTTTGGTAAAGCAGTTGAAATTTAAGGAGGAAAGACAGGAGGAGAACCAAGAAGAATGTGGTACTGCTTAAGCCATGTCTGTCCCAAGTTGCAATCTTTGGTGTTGGGGGAACCTGAAAACATGCAAATTTAGTTATATTAGGGGTAGCATGCCCCAAATTGTAGCAAAATTTCTCACAAATCTTGCTGGAGATTCAATTCAGTTTTGTGTGAGCTACCTAGACACCATGGTGGATGGAAGGGAATTTTGGAATCTTTTCCCTTTGTTTTTCCCACAGTGCAGGGTGGATAGGAAGGAAGGAAGGAAGGAAGGAAGGAAGGAAGGAAGGAAGGAAGGAAGGAAGGAAGGAAGGAAGGAAGGGAGGGAGGGAGGAAGGGAGTTTCAGTCTACTTTCTCACACTACATTATTTCCATCCAGCTTATTTTTCCCAACATATTTTCATATTTTAATGACATATTTCAAAGATCTTTGTGAAATCTAGACCCCTGAAAAATATCCAATCTCATAGGGCCAAGCTGTGGGGAAAAAATAGAAAGAAGGACTGGTGTGTCTGCTATTTTGAGTTCCAGTACAAAAGGCGGGATTAAAATAAATTATGGAAATTGGTCTAACACAAAGGTCCCCAATCTTTTGGGCACCAGGGACCGGTTCCGTGGAGAGAGGTTTTTCCGCAGACCGGAGGTGTGCGGTTTTGTATGCTGCCTGCATCCTGTGGATGAGGCTTTGCTTGTTTGTGCGGACCGGTTGCTGGTATGCTGAGGCCCGGTACTGATCGACGGACCAGGGGTTGGGGGGTCTGGTCTAATACATCTCTTAAAAGAGATCCAGATGATAAAAATATTTTAAAACCTACAAATGCGAGCATTGAAAAGTAGTGAGCATATATACATTTTCTTTTTCTTCTTGTGCCATATCTGTTATCGGACATTGGCGATCATGTTGGCAATTCTGTTTTTATCAGCAGCTGCATGAAAAAGTGCTGCAGAGTTTTATCCAAACCAGGCCTTTAGATTTTGAAGCCATGATGTTCTTCTTCTGCCTGGATCTGCATGTACAATTTCCTTAGATATACAAACATTAATATATTCA